AATGGTTAGGCGGCTATTAGAGTTAGATACCTAATGTGAATATCAATGTCCAATTTGAAACACACTTTTTAAGTATGGCACGACCACTGTACAGTACTCAAAATATTAAAGCATTTATACATCTTCACGACAGATTAAATCTGGATTGTACAATCAGGGGGCCTCAAGATACCTCAACATTTATTTTACATATTATATTGTTCTCTATTGTATTGCAATTATGAAAATTACATTGATTAGATCAATAATATTAGCTAGTCAATAGATAATAAAAAAACCAAACAGAGGAGTGTACTTAACTGATTTGTCATTGCCTGTTTATATATCAAGTGGTCGCCCAATGGTCGAAATATGACCATAATTAATTTAAATTATAAGTTTGAGCATTATTATATGGTTCTATTGTCCAATACTATACTTCTATAATCACAGATTTCGCTGAAGCTATACTGAAGACAAATAATATTAAAGATAAACAACATTAGTCTGTCCTCAATTAGAACACATACTTTATTAATTTACTCTCAAGTTGACCACAGTATTGAACAATAAACACATAGTTCGTGTAATGTTTGTGCTATTATGCATAATTAAAATTAAAAAAGTTTCTGCACTCCTACTCTATGTTCTCTATAAATGTGGAAAATTTCATAATCCTCCGTCCGCGCAATTTTCGTAAAAAGGACTACAAAGTTTTGTTCTATGTATGAATATATACATAGATTGCTTATTGATGCATTTTCTTATTTACATATCGACGCTCGAAAGGCAAACGTGACTAAGCGACAATGCGTGAACTTTACAGTAGACTAATTTAAAGTTGAAATACCTGAAAACAAAATTTATTTTAACGAATCCAGCTGTAGTTGAATCTAGCTAGTGGCTGTAGGATTGAAATTATTTTAATAGACCTAGAAATATATTTTTTTTGCGCATCGAATATGGTTATTGCCTATCATCTATGTACAAATCAGTTATTGTCGCTTAGTCACTTTTGCCTTTCAAGCGTCGATATGTACTTTTCATAACCGCTACGTCAGTTCAGTGGTCGGTAATATTAACCAGTATACCACGAGATCCGGTATCGATCCTGGACCCAGTAGACAAATAGTAGAGGTTTAAGTAATAGCAGAATAACAAGAGGTAGAACGAATTACAATTTCACTAACATTTAGTCAAACACAACTCAAAGGTTAGTGGATGCCGCAGAATAAGATTTCCAAGTTCAGTCAGGCTCGACAGCATTTATTGTTAAGAGAAAATTTAGTGGCAATATATCAACCGGACAAAGGGTAGCGTAGTAAGTAATGCGGAAAAGTCGAAAAGTTTCGTGACCACTGCAGCCTTTGGCGGTCAGTTCGTTTGTTAGAAATTTCGTTCTCTGATTACGCATTGGGAATTCATTACGTGTGATTCAGAATAGTACTGCCCTTGCTTGGGCTAGTGTTAGTAAGCTCTCTTAAGTTGAGCGTATGCCTTCAAATAGGCAGCAGCTGGTAGGCAGCGGCTTGGCTATGGTAGGCAGCGGCTTGGCTCTGCCCCTGGCATTGCTGACGTCCATAAGCGACGGTGACCACTTACCATCAGGTGCGCAGTATGCTCGTCAGCCTACAAAGGCAATAAAAAAAAATGTGTGGCACTCGGGAACTGCCGCGGTAAAGCTATTGCATAGCATTTTTTATCAACGTATGCAATTATAATTAGACAATGATAATATAATATTAAAACAATAATAAAACAAGACCACGCTATATTAAACATTAATAAAAGCAAAACCTTAACTGTCTCCTTCACACTCATAAGTTAGACCGCGCGAGAGAGAGATGGGCAGACTTTTCATGATGCGCATGCAGTGTGACGTCACGTCACGCGCTTATTCACAAACACTACACAAGCGCAACGTGTGAATGTGTTGAACGCAAGCTACATGGTAGGCGGAGTGAGGGGTGTAAGGTTTTTTTCGTTACGGAATTTCATGATTCGGTCATCCGCTCAAGGCTCGCGATAAAAGCTATGCAATCTATATATATAAAAATGAAACCCGTTTTCCGTTGTCACGACATAACATGAAAACGGCTTGACCGATTTGGCTACTTTTGGTCTTGAATTATTTGTGGAAGTCCAGAGAAGGTTTAAAGGGTAGATAAATATGAAAATGCTCGGAATTAAATAAAAATAACAATTTTGTTTTCTCTTTGATGTGTCCCCCGTCGGACGGATTCCTTTTGTTTGTTTTAAGTTTATTTTATACCAAAGTTTAGGTCTTTTATTTATCGATTGAGGCACTACGAAGTCTGCCGGGTCAGCTAGTAGCTTATAAATACCCGTCAGCGCGTTATTAGAATAGCCTAATAGACTACTAACGATTAGGTAAGGAAAAAAATTATTACGTGTTAGGAATTCAGTACGTTTGGAGTTCGTCAAAACTTAGTCGTAATAAAAAAAAGACATCCAAAGTTTTGATGTCTCTTGAAGGGCTTACAGCTCGAAGCATCGGCGGCTTAAAGGATAAGAGGCCCGGCGTAATCGTATTGAGCAATGCGTCTATATCGGCGTTAAAATCTCGAAGGTATGTGGCAAAAAAAGGAAATACGTAACTAGCTCGTATTTGGAATGATAAAGGTAAGACTAGTAAGCCGATTTTTGCTAAGCAGACCTACAGTCCCAATGCTGTTCGGAGCTCTTTATTAACGCAATTCAAGTTGGTTGGATAACTTTTTACTGGTGGTAGGACTTATTGTGAGTCCGCGCGGGTAGGTAACTAAGCAATAAAAAATAAAAAAAGTTTTTTTTTTATTGCTAGGTGGGTGTGGACGAGCTCACAGCCCACCTGCTGTTAAGTTGTTACTGAAGCCCATAGACATCTACGACGTAAATGCGCCACCCACCTTGATATATAAGTTCTAAGGTCTCACGTATAGTTACAACGGCTGCCCCACCCTTCAAACCGAAACGCATTACTGCTTCACGGCAGAAATAGGCAGGGTGGTGACACCCACCCGCGCGGACTCACAAGAGGTCCTACCACCAGTAAACCCACCCGCGCGGACTCACAAGAGGTTCTACCACCAGTAAATTACATTTCTGTTTTTGTAATCACATAACATAATATTTTTATCTAGAGGTGATGATATTAAACAATAAATTTTTGTTAATTGTAATTCCAATGAGATGACAAAATATATATATTTGTCAAAACGATGCCTTAAATCAAAACGTTATCCACAAAAAAAACCCTAATAAATAATCATGGATTTCCGAAAGCTAAGCAATCACTTTTATATTAAAAAAAAGCTCTCAAATATACGTACGCGCACACGTCTATAAGCCCCGTAATGTTTTCGCGTAGCAATTTGCAAGCTCAACAGTGATTTGACATTAAATAATTTTTCATATTCCCAAACGTACGTAATAACATGAAGCGTACGTGATATAAGTAATTTATTCACGTAACGTGATAGTGATAAGTTATAAGTACATACATTTCGGAATAACGCCTTTTACGAATGATAAATCATGTTACACATTCTGCTATTTAGTGATTTGTTGTCTTTGTCTGTAGATTGTTTATTAAATATACATAGGCTGCACTAAAAGTATCGGGAATGGAATATTTCCACTGTTCCTGTCATATTAAAATCTTTTTAATTGAAAACTCCTTGGTTTTAAAAATCAAATACCATTTATTTATTTAAAAAAAGATTCTCGGCCGCCCTCGTACCTATATGTGATCAGTTTTTTGATGTATTATATAAATATCGCTAAGCACATAATCACTGCTTGTTCCTAATCGGAGGTGCAAGGTTTATGTATCTTTCTGCAGCTTGAAAAAGCGTGAACTATTTCATATATGAAGCATTTTTTTTATAATTTCAGCATTAGATAAGGTTGATTTCAAAAGAAAAATGTCGAAGGTGAAATTTTGGAAATAGAATTTGAATTACAAGAACAGATAACATAATATTATCGGCAATTTTTCTTCAAATATCTTCGGATAACCTTTACATTGTTTATCCTCTTCTCTTTCACATGATCTGTCAAATTTGACATGCACTCAGAATTCGGGTCAGCGATCCCAAACGAAATAAAAAATTTGAGTCATATCATTTTTAGATTAGGTTCAAAATGCTTTGTAAGCACGGAGGTAAAACAAGGGAAATATTTTCCCATAGGTTATGGCGCTCATTCAATTGTTCAAGGGGCACTCAACACATTCTGCTAAGAAAATAACTTGTAATTTAATTTTCTTGGGTTGTTCTATATTCCATATATATTGCTAACAGTTCGTTTAGGATGTTTGGCTAAACACCACCCAAATACAAAGTTTCGAAATTAATTCGACTGATACCAGTTGCTTGGGGTAAGCCGTATTTCTAATTCAAAGATTCAATAACACCTTTCTTAAAAGGAAATAAGAGCTAACAAAATTTTGGAGATATACACTTTAAATTATATTTAATAATTAATATTATATTTAATATTAAATATTTAATAATTTAAAGCCTTTTCGAAATTAATGAATAACGAGTGAACTATACTGGAGACCTTAGAACTTATATCTCAATATGGGTGGCGCATTTACTTTGTGTAATGTCTATGGGCTCCAGTAACCACTTAACATCAGGTGGGCTGTGAGCTCGTCCACTTATCTAAGCAATAAATAAAAAAAAAGACCAAATTAATTTTTTTTTGTTAGCATATTAAAAATATCGTATACAATTTTTTATTCAATTTTTTTCTCTTTTTGAACATCAAATAGTATAATATTGCACTACGAATGAACGACTCAATTACAAAGCTCAGTAAGGAAAGCTCTAAGAATTTTATGAACAACATGACGCTTGTTTAGGATTTTCACCTCACCAACTCCCAAGTTTGTTCTCATTTCAAAATCTGTTAAGAATGAGTTAAGAGTGCACTGTAGTTTTATTAATGTTGGCATTATGACTCGTTCACAGCGCGAATACGCCAGCCTCGTTTAGTCCTTGTTCGGTTTCGTAGCGGGCCACACGTAGACACGTAGCACCCGTAGAGCTCGTGCTACGAAGTTAGGTTGGTGTTTTTTAACAAAGTGTCATAAGTGTTCTCATGCGATTTATTTAAAGGTAAGTTTTTAATTATAAGAAAAAGATCGATCTGTGAATATTTATTATTTTTAATAAATAAGTCAAAGTTCACAAGTTGATTTGGTCAAATGTGGAAATGTTCATAAACAGTTTCAATTTGTAAGCCAGTGTCAACCAATTTGAGTCCGCAAAAGAAGGAACATTAAAGTTAGTGTCACATTCTTTCACTTTAAAATAAACTTCTAGATTATACTTATCTTTTTTATCTAAGGTACATTTTTGAAAGTAATTTTATAAAATCTCGTCTCCGCTAACATGAAAATGTAAAAGAAGAAGTTTTTTTACTTAATAATGAGTAAATAGTCGAACCGGGACAAGTGAGAATTCAAGAGACCGCAATCTCTTTCTAGCTTATGGTGGTTTCCCACTAACCCACTAACACGAGTTTTTAGACAAAGTCGTCACTTATAGACTATAACTAAATGGATACAGTGAGTATGCAGTGAATAAATGTACGTAATGTATTGTTTTTTTTTATAAGAACATAAACTTAATTAATCAGCATCACAAATTACAATGGCTGTGAGAAGTACATATAATGCATATGACTTTAATCGTCCTAACAATTCTCTTCTAAAAAAATAGATTTAACATACCCGGATGTCGAATGCGAAACATTAATTAGCAAAGGCCGGAAAATCTAAACCTTTTGTTAGATGTCAGATTCACAGACCGACAAAATATAATGTGGAATGAGATCGCGGCCCATATAGTGCTAAGTGGTTACCGGAGCCCATAGACAGCTACAACGTTAATGCCGCCACCCACCTCGAGACATGAGCTCTAAGGTCTCCGTTTTTGCAGTAGAATGGCCGCCACACCCTTCAAACCGAAACGCATTACTGCTACACGGCAAAAATAGGCAGGGTGGTGATACCTATCCATGCGCGCTCACAAGACGTCCTACCACCAGTAATTGCTCCCAGATATGTTAGTAACAAGAAAGAGCTCTGCTCCGATGGGTATGTAGTGTGATGTTGCAAGGAAGATAACTAGAATGCAGAATTTCAAAGGATAAAACGACATAAACACAGAAATTGGTTGACCCTAGACAAAAACTTTAGCAGTAGGAGCTTGGCTGGGTGTTGTATGCGTGGATGTTCATTAGCTACTATGATTACCTACTATCAACTGTAGGTACGACTGCCTACGAAGGTGATAATTTTATTTTTATTTTCTTTTATTGCTTAATTGGTTGGATGAGCTCACAACCCACCTGGTGTTAAGTGTTTACTGGAGCCCATAGACATCCACAAAGTAAATGCGCCACCAACCTTGATGTAAGTTCTAAGGTCTCAAGTATGGTCACAACGGCTGCCCCACACTTGAAACCGAAACGCATTACTGCTTCACGGCAGAAATAGGCAGGGTGGTGGTACCCGTGCGGACTCACAAGAGGTCCTACCACCAGTAATATAAAAAGTAATAAAATAATCAAAATCATAAACTACATGGAGTGAACATATAAAAATACCTAAATATAAGTTGTAACGTGCTTAATGCATAAACAATTCTAGCTAGAAAAAAATACAAATAATGTAAATAGATGGGGGATATTTTAAATAAATATCTTAAGAGCTAAATTTTGCTTTGTAAATAACGCCCTTGCTTATCAGTAAGATCATCATCCGCAGAATTGTTTTAATGTAGCACACGTATTTGAAGAAATCTACAATGGTGTATTGAAAATGAACTTGTATCCTTCCTATTTTGAAGCAGCTAAAATAAATTTTAAATTAAATCCGACCAACATTGTATATTTAGGCACAGAGTGTCTTAAACTAAAATTTGACAGCAAACTGACTTCAAACTACGCTTAAGATTTTAGTAGCGCTGGAAATTACACTTAACAGACAGATGTGGGCATCTTCTCCTGTTTATTTTCTTTATAATAATTATTGTTAGTAAATTTATATTAGTGTTCGATTTATTTGAATAATATTATATTAATACTACTGGTATGTAAAGTTCTATTTATTACTACAAATATATTAATTAGTGTCATAGAAAGTGCTACACAAAACACACGTATTTCAAATATCAAGCCGCTCAAAACACAACCTTATCACCGCAACAATTAGTAACATAATTAGAAGTTAAAAAAAACTAAGACACTTAAAATTTTACACTGACTCCTTCGTCTCGGCAGATTCCTTCCACATTATTTAGACGGAATTATTTAGACGTAAGTTTTGATAAGAATTTCGCTGACACATTTGAGCTTTCGCAACGACAGTCCGACATGAATCTTCAAGCATGATGTAGCGGAACCATGCAATGAACAAAACAGAATATTTTTATTTTAAAATCCATTCTATATTCTATTCTATTCGGTTCAATCAATCATCGCGTGGTTTTAATCTGCGATGATGCCAACACAAGGAGAAACAGAATTTCCGCCATTAAGTACGCTCTGTTGGTTTTTTAAGGTCGTAATATCGATTCGTTTGTTTTTTTTTCAGGAGCAAAGAGAATTTAGGATCCTTTTATGTTTATTATTAAAGTATATTAAAAATAAACATTGACACAGCTGTGATAATTTATTGTGTTCTTAATAAAACGTTTGTTTGATAAAATTCTTTATTAACGATCGTAACGGTTCTATTTCGTAGAAAGAAAAAAAAACATCATTATTGAAATCGGGCTGGACCGATTTTGTATTATTTGTTCCATGAACCGATTTCTTTTTAACGACGTCCCACAAACAGTAGAAACCTCTGATCATGAATTAAAAAAAAGAACATCTAAATAAATTATCAGTCAGACGTAAAAATGCTTTCACTTTAATCGATCAGACATTAATAAAGAAATATTCATTTACTAACAACCGACTCCTATCCATTAAATGAAACGACAATTTTACATTAACTAATCAACTGAAAGTATACATGTAATGACCTGAATCCAAAAGCATAAAGGAAAATCGTGTACAATTGCAGCAGGTGGTACCGAAAATTTGAAAGTGTCACAAGTGAATAAGACTTTAAATAGAACTTAATTACTGGTGGTAGGATCTCCTGTGAGTTCGCGCGGGTAGGTACCATCACCCTGCCTATTCCTGCCGTAAAGCAGTAATGCGTTTCGGTTTGAAGGGTAGGGCAGCCGTTGTAACTATACTTGAGACCTTAGAACTTATATCTCAAGCTGGGTGGCGCATTTACGTTGTAGATGCCTATGGGCTCCAGTAACCACTTAACACCAGGTGGGCTGTGAGCTCGTCCACCCAACTAAGCAATAAAAAAAAATCTTTCTTCACACGAGGCTCGTGGAGAGTTTTTAAAGGAAGGCAGCGACTTGGCTCTGTCCCCGGCATTGTTGACGACCGTGAGTGACGGTAACCAGTTACCATCAGGTGATCCGTATGCTCGTCTGCCTGCTCAGACAATAAATTTTTTTTAACTAGAATGATTGTCAACCATAAATTTATTTATGTTGAATAGATACAACGTTTCAAGATTCATATCTTGAAAAACAATAGATAGCTTAGACCTCGATTAGCTCACAGCATTAGACGGTCGGACAACATTAAAGTTAGATCAATTGTATTGTAATCAGAGATCGCTTGGGACCTGGGTACACGGAGAGACTTTAATTCTCTTGATCTACATTTCGTACTAATGCACGCGTGGCTATCCAGTTATAGAATCAACAGGAAGTCTATTTTCATTGGGTTCTTATCTTGAGACTAGTCAGCACGCAAATATCAAAGCTGGATGGTAATGAAGTCGCGAACGATATACTTAACAAACTCTGACGAATTTGTACTGTTATTAAGAGTAAACGAATATTGTAGAATTTTACTAATAATTGACTTTGTGTAATGTTGTAATGTATTGCATTTCAGCAATATCCCTTATAGTCTAGAACAGACTTTCCCAAAGTGGGCGATAACGCCCCCTTATGGGCGCTGCAGGCCTAAAGGGGGGCGGTATGAGACCCAGAAAATAAAAAGAGGGCGTTAGGTAGAGGCTTGGGAGGCGATTTGTAATCTCATCTAGGACTCTTAGACACCGTGTGAGCTCTAGCTATAGTGGTTTTTAAGTAGGTAAAAAAGGGGGGCGCTAAAAAATAACTTATCTCAACGTGGGCAGAAGACAAAATAAGTTTGAGAATCCTTGGTCTAGAATGTATATGTATAATATTTATTAGTCTACTTAATAGATCTTCACAGTCTAGACAATATATATTATATAAATTACTGTACCATATTATAACTATTTAAAACAATTGATGATTAGACGAGCCGAACGAAGACAACATCCACGTGAACGTATCATTTCATTGTTTTTGTTGTTGATAATAGTTACTGTGTTTTTACTACTTTCATAATTACATATTTAGGAGTGGAATTGTGCATTTTAATATTTAGCAGCAAAATCTTTACTTCGAAGCATGATTGATATTAGATTATAAGTTTAGGGATGTAATGATATTGAACACAAACTAATATAAGCACTACCTAGTATCATTACAGATATAGAAAATCTTACGTGCTAGATGTTCACATCAAATTTCCAAAGTAACCGGCTAAAAGTGACCAACTCTGAAATTAATTTCACTGACCCTTTGGTTGCGATGGCGTCTTAATCCGTTTAACTAATTCGGGTGCGTTATACAAAAGCCTCAGGCGATTGTGGCTGCAGACGGATTTCTTTGGCGATAATTAATGAATTTAATTTAGGTAAGAATTTTGAGGAGTTGCTGCTAACGCGTAGCTTTGTATTGAGCTGCTGATATTGTAGGGGATTTTTTAAATGACAGATCGCATTACGAACTAACTAGTTGAGGTCGTCGGTATATTTTAGTTTTGAGCCAAACGATGTCTATATACATAGAAGCCCAAGTTCGGGGTTGACGTTTTGGAGCTGAAATTGTGGTATAAAGAATCTACAGTGGTATCACCTGATGGTATCAGTATTCTACAGATATATCACCATCCTAGGTAGTTTGGAAGATAGATACAGTCGTTGTCCATCCGA